TCCGGATTCTCTTCCGTTATTAGATTAATTAAATTGTCTTTGTTTGACTTTATGCTACGAATGTTCGATTGAATTATTTTTAAACTATTTCTAATTGTCATTGATGTTAGTGGAGGATATTGGTAAATATAACGGAAGTTATAAATTCAATGAGGTTTTTAAAAGATGTAACTAATTAGCCTGACTCTGAATCTCGATCAAAATCCATGTAGGATTCAGGTCGATACTCTGTCAGGAGTAATTCTCTACATATGTTTTTATTATTATCAAATGTGTTTCTGAGGTAATTAATAACAGCATTTAAGTCAAAACTATTAAGTGAATGAATATCTGAAGGTGCACTAGTGGAAGGCATATCTTGACTCTTAAGACGATTGGCATTTGAAAATTGAGACCGAGATGGAAAGGAGGACACAAATAACTTCTCTGGTCTAGAATTGGGAAAATATAGATTTTCTTCATGTGCTTTACGATCATAACCCTTGTGGATGATTCTTTTCTTATTAGCCTCTGTCGAGGCCACTTGTTGATAAGACCTTTTTATTGTGTTTGTTCTGAAAGCTTGTGCTCTCCTTTCATTCGGTTCAATGATAGATTCAGTTTGACTCCTTGAATTATTACCTAAATTATTAAATCTATTTATGGACGGGAAATCACTAGGATTGTACACAAATTCACCCCTAGATGTATACGTTTTTCTACATTTTTCGTTGGCTTCAAAAAAAGTGAGATTTTCAAAGGCCATTAGTTCTTTGATGTTTTTTTGTCTATTATATTCTGGACATTTTTTATATATTGTTTTGTGACTTTCTTTACAAAAGAAACAGCAAGGTTCACATGCAGGAATTTCGTTTTCCTGTGTGTGTACCTCGCCAGAGCAGTTGAAACACTTTTCTTTACCTTTGCAATTATTACGCGTGTGTCCATATCGAAGGCAACGGAAACATTGAGTCACAGGAGGAATATAAATTTCAGTTGAAAATTCCAAATAAAAAAATTTAATATGTCTAGGCAATCTAACCCCTCTAAAAGTGAAAAGTACAGTTCCTGTCGGTTCATAGGTAATATTATTGTCTTTAACGATTTTTCTATTATGTCTTCTTACATTAATGATTTTAATGTTGTCGCTGGCTATACAGGCACTTAACAATTCTTCCTCAGATAAATCTACATCGATTCGATGTAACAAAATTGAAAGGAATGTACATTTTATACCCTTTATCTCTCAATGCCTTGTTATTTAAAAATAAGTTTGCAGCTTTATAATTAATAAATTGTATTGCGATTCTATTTAATCCTTTATTGGATATTTTGAAAATGTCTGTTAATTTAAGATTGAATATATCTCTTGCTATTTTAATATTATTTGCCCTACCAATATTGAACCCAACTTTTTCAGTCGATTCTAAATAAACAACGAAGTGTCCCTTATCAGCGGATTCATAAAAAATTTCCGGTTTTGGAATGTTTGGTATGTTGACTTGAGAAATATTTTCAGAAATATTATCATTAATATGGGACGTATTTATAGGCCCTAACCGATCCATATTACTTATAGACCCCTGGTGGGGTCAATCAAGCTAACCAAAACAATGAAATTCAAGCAATGAAATGTAAGCTCTTAATTAAAAATGCTCAACTTACCGCTGGACGCAAACACACAAAATTAGTGAGGAAGCCCAAGGTCGAAAAGCAAATATTGATAGCTCTTTGCACGTTGATGGCTGAACGCGAAGTGTGTCCTCAGGTCGTTAGGATTATCGATTATCACTTAGGTCGGTATTACATCTGTATTTTTTTTTGTTTATATGAAGAAATACACGAATGTCAAGGGGAAATATTAACTGTGTATTTATAGCTTATCACGTGCATAAATTCATAAATTTATACATGCATTATTACATGTAAAAATACACGAAAAAATACTCAGATGTAATGCGGGCTTTTCAATTACAGACAAGTTAGTGATAGACCTAGAGGAATTCATCTGGTACTTGTCCAATAATAGAGAATATACAGATATAAATAAGCTACGGTTCGATTTGCTCAAACAAAATACTCTTCTACAGTCATCTCTGCATTGTCAAATACACAAGGTGTTGAATTGAGTCTACTACTCCCTTGCAGTGCTGCATAAAGAATAATGCCCATGTCGCTAAGCACATAACACCAAAGTGGAACATGGCTGGAAATTGGTAAGATTGGATCACAGGTGAATCGTTGTCGCCCCAACTAACCGATGTAATGAGAAGCTATTATCCAGATGAGTTTGAAGATGGAGATTAGCCAGAGCTACCTAATTTACCGATATATGTATGTACCACCATAGGACGATGAAGATAAAGAAGAAACCTATTGATTACAGATACTGCTCTTTGGAATTTTCTGATTCACTTGTTTTCATTTACTTTTGTGTTAAGTTTCAGATTTACAATACAGGGTGTCCTTAGATAAACTGACACATTTTAGAGGTGAATATGCGGTTTGCTCTGGAAGAATGAGGATTTTTTAAAGTTTTTTTTCATGGTATTGATTGACAAATCCTGAAATTTGGTTTTACATACATTCGATTTTTTTAAATAATTACATACTGCCTTATTCTTAACGAAACACCCGGTATATTTTGTCATTCTCAGAATGCGTGACTTTTCTACTTTACAAAAATGTATAATTTTTTTCAATTATCATGAAATTGAATCGTAAAAATTGCACTTGGTTGAAGAGCGTACCGTCGACTGGCCAAAAAAAAAATGATAATTATTAATTTGTGTTTTATATGCACTTATTTGTGTTTAATACTTGTATTATTAGTTAACTATGCGCTAATTAGTTAATAAAAGTATTAAACACAAATTAATTCTCAATTTTTTTTTTGGTTAGTCGATAATATTCCCTTCGACAAAGTGCAATTTCACGATGCAAGTTCAAGATAATTGAAAACAATTATACATTGATATAAAGTAGAAAAATCAGGCTTTCTGACGATGACAAAAGATACAGGGTGTTTCATTAAAAATAAGGCAGTCATTTTATTTCAAAAAATCGCATGTCTGTAAAACCAAATTTCAGCAAATTTCAGGATCCGGCAATAATGTGAAAAAAACACTTTAAAAAATCCCTATTCTCCCAGAACAAACCGCACCTCATTAACTTTTCCCGTTTTCGAGATATTTACCTACAAAATGTGTCAGTTTATCTAAGGACACCCTGTATATTACAATAATTTTATTTTTTCTACGAGCGTGCGGGAAATGGCTCTTCCCGCACGATTTGCTGTGCGGAAAGACTTTCTTCCCGCACCGGTGCGGGAAGAGATTTCTTCCCGCACTCAGTGCGGGAAGAGTTTGAAATAATCATTGTGACATGGAATTGTTTGTATTGTTGATACACCTATACCTGTACCTTTACCTTTTTATAAATACCTTTTAATACATTTTTAATTCTACCTTCTGCATAATCGCATTTTATTTAAATTAAACTCTTCGTAACATCAGCCTTAGTATGCTCGTAGAAAAAATATAGTTCCTAACTCTTGCGGGAAGAAATTTCTCTTCCCGCACTCGTTAGGAAAATAGCTATTTCTCGATAAACAAACCATGACTACTATGGGAAGAATTCCTTTACAATATACGGGTGACACAAGGAATAGGGAACAACCTATAACTTTTTTATTATACAGGGTGAGTTACTAAGCGCGCGGTCGTCCATATCTCCTATACTAACGGAAATCGAAGAAAAGGCTAAATACAAAATTTGTAGATAAACATGAGTACTACATTCCTAAATTATTTTCCAGTATACAGGGTGGCCCATAACTAGTAGTGACACAAAGTTATGTTTTTTTTAATGACTCCCCCTGTATATTCTGACTTTTCTGGATTCTGCGGAAAATTCTAGACATTTTCATGTACAGGGTGCTGCAATTTGGAGTGTTTTAACAGGGAAAACCTACTTCCAGACCAGATAGAGAAAAATTGACTTAGATGTCATGGGATTGATTTTCGAGAAACGTCGATTGTCCAAAACCGTATCGCGATATCTTCAATGGTACCAATAATACAGGGCGATTTTCGATTTTTCCCTATTATGAAAAATAGCTAAAAGTTTTTGTTTATCAATTTTTTTTATTTCTGTGAAAACATCTCTGGATTACTTTTTGAACACAATCCAGTAGCGTACTCAGTTTTCTTCTATTTCGCGCCCATTTTGAGATATTGACCAAATTCCGATTTTTTTAAATAGGACACCCTTTATATTGATAGCTCATTGGATAGCTCTGCTTTTGCTGATTTCAATGATATAAAGTTTGATAGGTTTATCTCTAACAGTTTTCGAGAAAAAAATTATATCTGTTTCAGTCATAAGAAACAATGTGTTAGAAAGAGACCTTCCTCATTTTCCCTACAGATATAAAATCCTTTTCTAACACAACACATTGGTCCTTATGACCAAAACAGATATAATTTTTTTTCTCGAAAACTGTTAAAGATAAACCTATCGAACTTTATATCATTGAAATCAGCAAAAACAGAGCTATCCAATGAGCTATTAATATATATTTGAAAAAAAATCGGACTTTGGTCAATATCTCAAAATGGGAGCGAAATAGAAAAAAACTGAGTACGCCACTGGATTGTGTTCAAAAAAGTAATCCAGAGATGTTTTCACAGAAATAAAAAAAATTGATAAACAAAAAACTTATAACTAATTTTCATATTAGGGAAAAATCGAAAATCGCCTTGTATCAATGGTACCATTGAAGATCTCGTGATACAGTTTTTGACAATCGAAGTTTCTCGAAAATCGATCCCATGACGTAGTCAATTTTCCTCTATCTAGTCTGGAAGTATGTTTTTCCTGTTGAAACACTCCAAATTGCAGTACCCTGTACTTTAATATGACATGATGCCATATTTTATAATCTAAAATCTAATGCACAAAAAAAAAGGAAAATTATCATAGAATCGATCGATCAATAATAACAATTTTCTTTATTCCAGGTGCTATGCCTTACGCCCAACAACACTACCCATTCGAAAACGCTAAAGAATTTGAAGACAACTTCCCCGCCGACTTTATTGCAGAAGGCATTGATCAAACTCGAGGCTGGTTTTACACTCTAACTGTACTTTCTACAGCTTTATATGGCAAAGCACCCTACAAAAACTTAGTAGTCAACGGATTAGTGCTAGCAAGCGACGGACAAAAAATGTCAAAAAGGAAGAAAAACTATCCAGACCCTCTTGAAGTTGTCAACAAATATGGAGCTGACGCTTTAAGGTTGTATTTAATCAGTAGCCCGGTTGTAAGAGCAGAAAACTTAAGATTCAAAGAGGAAGGAGTAAGGGACATAATTAAAGACGTATTTTTGCCTTGGTACAATGCTTTCAGGTTTTTATTGCAAAATATTGAAGTTTTTGTTAAAGAAAATTCAAAACCCTTCAAGTATGACCATAAAAGCGTTATTAAAAGTGATAACATAATGGACAAATGGATATTATCTTTTACCCAATCTTTATTAGATTTTGTCCAAACAGAAATGAAGCAATATCATTTATATACAGTGGTGCCAAGGCTTACAAAGTTTATTGATTATCTTACAAATTGGTACGTAAGGATGAACAGGAAAAGGCTAAAGGGTGAAAATGGAGAAATTGATTGCTATAACGCTTTAAGAACCCTATATAACGTTTTGGATAATATTGTTAGAATGATGGCCCCTTTTGCCCCATTTATAACAGAAAATATTTATCAAGTAATGAAAAAATTACTTGACAATTCTCCTGCCGATAGTATTCACTATTTAATGCTTCCAAATGCAGACCAATCTTTAATAGATTCAAATATTGAACGAGCAATTGCAAGAATGCAAAGTGTTATCGAACTTGGCCGTGTTGTGAGGGATAGAAGGACAGTTCCCATTAAATATCCTTTGCCTGAAGTTATCGTTATTCATCAAGATACTCAATATATCGAGGATATATTATCGTTAAAAGATTATATAGTGTCTGAACTCAATGTCAGAAAAATCAGCACTACTACTGATAAGAGCAAATTTGGTATAACTTTGAGAGCCGAGCCTGATCACAAAGTTTTGGGGCTGAGGTTAAAGCAAGAATTCAAAGCGGTTACTCAAGCAATTAAAGCTCTTACGGACAAGGAAATTAATGAAATGGTAACGAAAGGACATAAGGAAATTTGCGGACAATTAATTGATATCAGTGAAGTTCGTTTGATTTTCAAATCCGACTCGCTTAAATCCGATCAATATGAAGTAAACAGTGATAATGATGTATTGATTTTGATGGATGTCACTCCTGATGCTTCAATGGCAGATGAAGGAACTGCTAGAGAAATAATTAACCGGATACAAAAGATGAGAAAGAAGGCACATTTAGTGCCTACTGATGAAATATCGGTATTTTATACAGGAGATGGAGAGGTTAATAGAGTCGCTGCTGAATTTAAAGATTTTATTGAAGGAACTATTAAAGCCCAATTTATTCCGGCTGATCGTAGAAACCCAGCAGATCAACTCATTATTGAAGAAACTCAAAAACTCAAAGATTGTGAGCTCTATATTGCATTAACAAGAGCTGGTAATACCAATGGACTGGATATGCCAAATGCGAAATGGGTAAATGTCCGATTGGTCGGGTTGAAATCCAAATATTGCCGTGGCGCTTCTAAAGGAGTAATTCTTTTGGAGGTAGCCAAAAAAGTATTGAGCATAGATCAATTCAAATTTGAAATTTGTAGACTATTTGGTGTTGAAAAGTTCAATCTAGTTTTATCAAACAATTCCAAAATTAATTCTGCTGAAACTTTGTTCAACGCTCAAGGAAATACAGTCTATGTTATTCCAAAAGATTCAGATTTGACAGTGCCTTCTGCTTCTAGAGAGGCGCCTTTTTGCAAATTTAAAAATTTCTCCGAGAATGGAGTTGCTGGAACGTACTTGCTAGAGAATCCACTAGGAAATCCAGTAGGATCTTTAAATGGTTTTAGGGAGCTTAAGCAAATGTGGTTGTAAGATTCTAGCGTAACCTAATAAATTATTTGGTTTTGATGTCAACTGTTTTTGTTAGGATGATTTTCATTTTTGCAGCTACTAGGAATCTGAGGAAGTCAAAATAAATTTGGCGATCTTCATAAATACGAGACTATCAGTGTTTCGTCTTTATTTTTTAGAAAATTTAATACAATTTGGCAAAGGTACAAATTCTTATACATAAAAGGTTTGCATTTTTTGTTTCCGCCCAAATAATTGCACCTCTAGATTTTGATGGTAGAACCTACGACCCAAAACGAGTATTCCTTATACTTGCTTAGACACCTGATAAGCAACACACGGGCGCGTCGTCCCCAATTTTGACTTGGCTACAATTCTGCATTTGGTATAAAAGCCCCATTGTGAGGTTCGTGTCGCATCAACCATTAACCAATTTCCGAGAAGTCAACACCTGATTGGAAATTTGTACACCTACTGTAAAGTGGCTGTTCCAGTATTGCTGAGTATTGTTGAATATTGTCACTTTATTCTAGGTATTGTATGGTTATTGTAGGGATTGTCAAGTATTGTTAACATATTAAAAGTATTTAACTGGTACTGTCGGGTAATGTGGATGAAACAGCAATACTTAACCTGTATTGTAGAGCAATTTTTAGTACTTTTAGTAATGTAGAAGGACTGTCGATACTGTTTATGTATTTTCAGACTCAATGTTAATACTTTGAATGTAATAATCTTTGTTATTGTTAAGTGTAAATTGTGTGCAAAAATTACTGCTGATGATTTACTTTTATTGAAAGCTCTTGTTTATTAGGAAAATTAGGTACATATTTCTTAAGCTTTATGCACTATGCATTGGTAAGATGCGAATTGTTTGATCGAATGCGATGAAACTAGAGAGTTTTATATGGCGGACCCCGTATATGAAACATTTCCGCTTGTTAACTAAACCTACTGATAACTTATTATATGTATAGGGTGTCTAATTAGTAGGTATATTGGAAACAGTAAGAGATATGAGGGCCGTTGAATTAGAAAAAAGTTGCCATTTCCGAAGGTTATCAAAAATATATTTTCATTGTTGCCAAATTTCTATTAGTTTCCGACAAACATGGTGATTTGTAAAAAACACCTAGAATTTTTTTTTTACTTTACAAATCATCCTGTATCTCGGAAATTAATAGAAATTTGGCAACAACGAAAATACATTTTTAATCACCTTCGAAAATGGGACTATTTTCTAATTCAACCGCCCTCGTATCTCTTACCGTTTACAATATACCAATGGTGGCCCATGGTATTTTTGACACCCTGTATATCTTTTATTAATTCCTAAACCCGTTTTAACGAGCGGCACCACAATTTGTAGTTTTGTACTGGGTGTTTGTATATAACTGGAACACTCAGTAAATTTCTTATTATTGAAAATAAAGGGCATGTTTAAATTGGAAAATTTCGTGGTAAATTGCAACCTTAAGTCCTATAACGATATTTTTTTTGTCGTCATTGGTATACAGGGTGCGCCAAAAAGGTATTTTTTTTAAATGGAACGTCCTGTATATTTTTGCTATATGAATATTGCTGATATTTTTGTGAAGCTAATTTTTTAGGAATTTCAAAAATGCAAAAATAGACAGGGCGTTCCCTTTGAAAAAATGACATTTTCAGCGCACCCTGTATACTTATGGCGACAAAAAAATATCGTTGTAGCGATTAAGATCATTGCAATTCGCCAAGAAAGAGTGTTCCAGTTATAAACAAACATCCTGTACATACATCGATTTCGGAAATCGCAGGGGATTTCGACAATTTTTAAGGGATTTCGAAAGATTTCGGATATTCGACTTTCAACGCCGCACCACTTAAGGATTTCGAGGATTTTGTTAAATGGACCCCGCAATATTTAAATGGAAATTGGTTACCCGTGATATTTGGATGAAATTTAAATATGTTATTGGGGATGCCGTAGGCAACAATTTTTACCATGGGCACAACCCTGTATATATGACAGGTGAGGCGTGGTTAGCTGTCAAATATTGGAATCTGATATCCAAAAACAGAGTAACTATGGCAGATTTTGATGAACAAAAAATCTATTTCTACTAAGTCGACCAAGTTAAGTCGAAAAATTTCAACCGTTTTAACACCTGTCAAAACCCTGCCAAACGGCAGCACTCATTTTTTCCAGTTTTCAATATTTTATGATGTTATTTGTCATTTTTAACTTGTATGTAAATTCTAAATTCAAAAATTTAAAAAAAAAATGACAGAACTGTCAAAACCTGTCATTTGTTTTAGTAGAAAAAAATACTCTAATCTGGTCCTTTCTCGTTTTAAGGTAGTTTATTGGTGATAAAAAATTGAGCAAAGTTCATGCACGTCACATTTTGACAGCTGTAATTTTTTTTTTTCAATTTTTAAATTCAGAATTTACATATAAGTTGAAAATGTCAAATGACAACATAAAATATTGAAAACTGGATTAGATGAGTGCTGCCGTTTGGCAGGGTTTTGAAAGGTGTTAAAACAATTGACATTTTTCGACTTAACTTGGTCGATTTAGTAGAAATAGATTTTTTGTTCATCAAAATCTGCTATAGTTACTCTGCTTTTGGATATCAGATTCCAATATTTGACAGCTAACCACGCCTCACCTGTCATATATACAGGGTTGTGCCCATGGTAAAAAATGTTGCTTACGGCATCCCTAATAACATATTTAAATTTCATCCAAATATCGCGGGTAACCAATTTCCATTTAAATATTGTGGGGTCCTTTGTTAATTTTTTTTAGGTTTATTTTTGTTTTCTCAAATCAAAGAATCATCAATTACTATTTATTTTGTTATGGAGAATAATAAAAAAAGTATTTCAAAAAATTGTCCACTACCCTATTAGAGCAAGTTCTGTTTCGTGGATTGATACATGTATTTATTTGAGGTCAAATATACGGCTAATATTTCTGTTCGACACCATGTATGTATTTCTTTCTGTAGTAACTACATGTAGAAATACATGAAAAAATACACGAATATGTAAAACGAGCTTTATTGTATATTATAAAATTTTAAATTACAGTCGTGAGCATTAATGGTTCATTTACATTCACTTCAAAGTCCAATTTGTCTTGAAATTGACGTGCTTGTCATATGGCGACAGCACAGATCCATTTACATTGAAATAAATTTGAAGTTCACTTCGAAGTGCACTTCAAATTTGGGCGAGCTGCTTGCCGAGGGCAAGCAGAAATTTGTGAAATGTCAAATTTTTAGTTTATCCATACGATTCTCATAAAATTCTGACGTTTTGACTTGACGTTTATGTTTTGCAATGTAAATGATAAAATATCAAACGTCAAATTTAACTTGAAGTTGGAAGTGAATGTAAATGCTCCTTAAAAGTGGGACACCCGACTGACAGGTTTTGTCATTTTTTTTTGCTATTTTGGATAAATCAGTCTTTTTTGTACAACGGTTTTTTTTTGTCAAATATGACAATCTCTGTCATTGTCGATGGTGTAGCTGCTGAACCCGTTTTACAATAGGAAAAATCGGGTGTCCCATTTTTTGTGCTCACGACTGTACATTTTCACGAAACTTTCTTTCACTGCAATATTATACTTCAGTTATTCTATTGTGAATTTACGAATGCTCTGCCACTTGGCCTGTCATGTGGTGCAACACTTTTAAAAGCTCGTAACCCGATTCACACGTATTCTTTTAGGGCCATATTCTCCGTAGTTCATAAAGCCTGGCTTAGTAGAAATGATTGACTTTTTGTGTGACAAAGCCGAGCTTTTCTACTAAGCCAGGCTTTATGAACTACGGAGAATATGGCCCTCAGTATTGTCAAGGGATTATCAGTATTGTCGGGGGGTATTGTGATTACTGATTACTGTAGAGATACTGTTGAGTATTTTTGACGGATTTTTGGTATTGTTTCAGTACTGTTGAGCATGACGGTATTGTTTAGGTATTGTAGGTACTGTGAACTGATTTGTACACCTACTGTCAGGAGGTGTCGACCTCTCGCCACTTTCCGTAACTCCTAATTGAAAATTAGCATAATCAGTAGTGCGCGTATGGAGCAAGGCCCTGTAGGAGTAGCACTCACGAAATCACTGGGTAAGTTCTTTTTTCTATTATTTATAGTCCGGGAGTTAACGACATATTTTATTGTACCATTTTCGCAAGCTTCATTCTTTTTGTATGTGTTATGCGTGTAGTATATGATATTAATATGAACGTCTGCCGGCGCACCCTCACGACAGGGGGTTACAGGAAGGTTACAATTACAGCAAAAAATTTACGAAAAAAACTTATAGCGGCACAAGCTAAACTTATTGTACGTATTAGTAGAAACATAGAAAGCTTAGAAAATATCGTCTGCCACCTAAATTCCACGACAAAAGTCGTCTGCCACTCACAAAAATAAGCGCAAAAAAAATTAAAAAAAAAATTATACCCGCAAGGCTGAAATTAATTGGAATACTTCTTTTCATAGTAACAAAGACAAAAATAATAGTCTGCCACGAATAAGATACAACGAAGATCGTCTGCCAAGCCTATGAAGTTGGGTTCGGCATGCAGTGCCCGAGCACCACCGCTAGGACGCTGCATCTGTCTCTTATTCCTATCTATTTTATTTTTTTTTTGTAAGACTAACCAGAATGAATTGTAAAAAGCTCAAGTTTAATGTTCTAGAGTTCTTAAAGAGATTATGGAGGGATTCATCGCGTACAGTCAAAATTGATGTTGAATAATATTGATGAAATTCGATGAAATTATTGAAAATGAAAATGAGCAACAGTTTTACTTTACAACAACAACTTTGTATTTTTTTGACACAGCCGTAAACTTCGAATAACAAGCTGAGTGGTATCTCTGATAGTCATTTACTTCTTGAGGTAATATAACGTAACTCAAATCTAAATTCTTCTCTTTACGGATTGAGAGAATATTTTCACTCGTATTTAATGTAGTGGTGCCGCGAGACAAGACTAGACGAGACTGGCCGAAACTCACTAGCAACACGCCACGTCATGCTTTGCCACACCACGCCATGTGACGAAAATGTATGCGTATATTCTTCTATTTATTTATATGTGCTGCGTACACACTTGCCATACGCGATACCTCGCCATGGCACGCCACGCCATCCGTCCATTTGCACACAAACTGTCCCACGTAAACCCGTGTCACATGGCGTAGGGTGGCGTGGCGTGTTGCTAGTGGGTTTCGGCCTTTAAGGCCGAAACCCACTAGCAACACGCCACGCCATGCTACGCCACCCCACACCATGTGACATAGGTTCACGTGGGACAGTTTGTGTGCAAATTTTTAACACGCCACGTGATGACACGCTCATTTTATTCTATACATTTTATTTAGAAAAATTTTCAATAGCTTTGAGTACCTTATGGAGTATAGAAGAAGTTCGTCTAGTGACTTAGAGTTTCTAGAAGAATGTGCTGTTGCGGCTCTGATTTTACAGAATAAAAAAAAGGAGATTCCGGGTGCAGAAAATAAACAGGAATCGAGAAAAAATGGTGCTTTTCATGTATTAATGATGGAGCTGGAGGCAGATCGTAATCGATACCATGTACTTCCGTATGAAGAGAGAACAATTTGATTATTTACATAATCTTGTGAAAGACAAGATTAAAAAGCAGGAATTCGTACTGCCGTACCTTTTTTATCAGAAATTCTTGCTCCATTTTTCTGTATTACTATTTGCGACGCGTCAGAATATGAATAAATACAGAAACAGATTGCGGCGGGGCTAGAGAAGCGGCCGGGGAATATCTACACGTACTACCAACACGCGTGGGCAGCATCTGAGGATTTGAAATCATCACACGTCGGATGGTGTGACGTGCCATAGCGTGGTATCGCGTGTGACAAGTGTGTACGCGGCACATGTAAATAAATGGAAGAATATACGTATACATTTTCGTCACATCGTATGGTGTGGTATAGCATGGCGTGACGTGTTGCTAATGGGTTTCCGCCTTTAGGGTTAGTCTCGGTCTCGAGTACCAAAGTCTCGTCTCGAGTGGTCTCGCCTGGTCTCGAGCTATACAGGGTGTCCAAAAAATAGCGTGAAAACTCTTCTTTACGTGATGGAGGACCCTACAAGGAACCCCAGAAAAATACTTTAAAAAATCTAGTGGTATATGTCAAAATTAAATTAAATACCCATGTAACTACCTGAAGAATTCGAAGGTGAATTTTCACATCTATCTCTTCATATTACCAAGAATAATGCTGGAGAAGGATTTTTTTAATTTAATTATTTTACTAGGGTTTCTCAAAGGGTCCTCTATTACGTGGAGAGTTTTTACGCTATTTTTCGGACACCCTGTATTTATGGTTTTTGTTTTTTTATTATAACGGAAGTCCAAACTGCCACAGTGAGAAAGCAATTAGTAAAAAATCACAGTAAAGAGTGACCCTGATATTTAATTTACTGATTTCATATTCAAATAGCCCAGAATAGTCAAATAATAAAGCTATGAAAGAAAAATTTTAACTGTAATCTCGAGACTCGAGACTACACGAGACTCTCGCCGAGTCTGGTCTCGTCTCGTCGACCAAAAGCCAGTCTCGTCTCGAAAAGTCGAGACGAGACAAAACGAGACGAAACCAGTCTCGAGTCTCGCGTCATCACTAATTTAAAGTATGAATTCCAAACTTTTGCAATTTTCCTGTTTTTTTTTTACAAAAAACACAGTGAGGCTTTACTCCAGGCATTTCAAATTTGCACGCACTTTCCACAAGACTTTTATACCTCAATTTATGGAGACTCTGTGAGACCCTGCACTGACGCTACTGACAATTGAAAGTACTGCCAAAAAACAACTTCATAAATATTGCGCAATTAGTTTTTTTACAAAAATTCTATGATCCCCCATATGCCAAACCTAACTTCATAGGCTTGGCAGACGATCTTCGTTGTATCTTATTCGTGGCAGATTATTATTTTTGTCTTTGTTACTATGAAAAGAAGTATTTCAATTAATTTCAGCCTTGCGGGTATAAATTTTTTTTATATTTTTTTTGCGCTCATTCTTGTGGATGGCAGACGACTTTTGTCGTGACATTTAGGTGGCAGACGATATTTTCTAAGCTTTTTATGTTTCCACCAATACGTACAATAAGTTTCGCTTGTGCGGCTATAAGTTTTTTTCGTAAATTTTTTGCTGTAATTGTAACCTTCCTGTAACCCCCTGTCGTGAGGGTGCGCCGGCAGACGTTCATATTAATATCATATACTACACGCATAACACATACAAAAAGAATGAAGCTTGCGGAAATGGTACAATAAAATATGTCGTTAACTCCCAGACTATTAGAGGTTGCGGCGCAAAGTAAAATTTACAGTCCACTTTTCTGTTATTTTTTAATAATAAAGTTTATTCAAGTTCTAAAGAGTAGTGTCACTTATCTGTATCTTTGATGTTTAGAGATGGATGGTTTCGACTAACATCAAAAACAAAATTAGACGAATTTTCATCCTACAAAATTTAGAATGTTTTTTGACTATGAAGTTGTCCTAGAATAAATACAGGGTGGGGACTTTAACTGGAACTAATTCGCTAGAGCCGTCGGATGAAATATGTGGACAAAACGCAAAAACACGTCGAGTAAGATTTTCTGCTTAAGATTTTGTCACATTAATTTTTTTTATACAGGGTGTTCCTAGAACAGCTGTACGGTTATCAATTTTATTTTTTCAAATGATAGCCCCTGTATATTATGACATTTCTGGATTCTGCGAAAAATTCTAGACATATTTCATCAATATTGTCATATAGCTATCTTCAACTGTTTCGGAAATATTAAGAGTTGTAAGTTTGAATTTAATCCATGTTAAAAATTCTGGTTAAATTTAATCTCTGGTTAAATTCAAAGTTGATGTCAAATGATAGCTTATGAAAAGCTGCAGACGAGAATGTAAAATCGATTTTTCTGTAAAATTAGCCGTTTAGGTTTTACAGCCTGTCAAAGTTACAAACAAGTCAATTTTCAACTGTCAATATTTCCGAAACAGTTGAAGATAGGTATATGATATTGTAGATTATGAAATATGTCTAGAATTTCCCACAAAATCCCGAAATGTCATAATATACCGAGTTTACCATTTGAAAAAATAAAGTTGATAACCGTAAAGCTGTTCTTGGATCACCCTGTATAAAAAAATTAATGTCAAAAAATTTTAAGCAAAAAATCTTGATCGACATGTTTTTGCGTTTTGTCCAAATATTTTATCCGATGGCTCTAGCGAATTAGTTCCAGTTAAAGTCCCCACCCTGTATAAATTTTATTTGCAATCATATATGTAAACTTGACATTACTGGTTTTTTAAAAATTTGGAAGTGTCACTTTACCTGTGTCACTTCCCTCTTCGATTTTCCTCACCGATTTCCCTATTCGACTTCCCTCACCGATTTCCCTCACTGTAATTTATTTACCTTTGCTGGCAACAATGAGAAGAACATGTCAGGTAAAAACGTCAAAACAGTGAATGACAAATTTTGGCATGTTTGTTTTATTTTTTTAATATTAAAAAAATTGAATGACTAATCATAATTGATGGTGTACTTGCAAATAAAATAGTATACAAACCTCAAAGGAAAATTTTCACTTCCCTATTCGGTATGTAATATACTATTAAATAAAATTAAATAGGTATGTTGTCATTGTCAAAATTTCTATTATTTCAGTATTTAAAACTAAAAAGAGGACAGTTTAACAATAATAATTGCTTTCATGAATCTATCCCTATCCAGTCTAATTATCTAAAACCTATATACCTAACTATGGAACAATCCAGATACAGACATAAGTACTTGCTATTTTAGTGAAATTGTTTCTTCCATAGAATGTTGCTATGAAAAAATTTAATACAGTGCCCGCGGAAAAGTCTGCACCATATGGGAAATTTTTTTATGCTCATCCTTACTTCAAATCGGTTTTCGGCATTAGGTTCTGCATGACTGAAAACCAAAAAAATACCTACGATTTTTGACTCGAGTCTTGCCTCAAATGCCATTTGAAAATTGCAAACAAGGAAAAGTGGCATTTTTATAAAAAATATGAAAAAATTTTATAAGAAAATATTGTTCCAAATGACATTTAGGAGTAGTTTATAAACAAACAATTTGAAATTTTGATTTGAGAAATCTAAAATTTTCAAAATAGTCCAGAGGCGTATCAAAATTTTAATAGAAATATTTCTTTTTGATGTTTAAACTCTTAATAAGATTATTAAGATTTAAAAAACCATTAGTCAGATACAATAGTTATTTGTTTTACTAGGCAGAAAAGTACAAGATTTAATGCCGCGGCTGGTGTTTCATAGCCGAGGCATAGCTGAGCCATTCATTATTATTATCCAAATAATTAAATTATTTTGACAATTGTCATTGTCACCATCAATTTCAAATAGCAAATTGAGTGAAATTCTTACCTGGAACGTTGTGACACTGTCACTTTTAATGCTTAGGCAGTAAAAATACAACTTTTGATCCTGTCAAGTGTCATTAAAAGGCCGCTTTTACTGTCATTCGGAGAAAAAGTAATTATTTTAGAGGAATGATCGCGAAAGAAATCCTAAAAATATTATTTTTCCGTAGATATTCGAAAAAAATTAAAAAAAAAAAATCTTTTTTTTTTCAAAGTAAAAATATCAAATTAGACTAAAAATGTCATTTGAAACAATATTTTCTTATAAAATGTTTTCATATTTTTTATAAAAATGCCACTTTTCCTTGTTTGAAATTTTCAAATGGCATTTGACAGGTGTGAGGTAAGTCTCGAGTCCAAAATTTAAGGTGTTCTTTTGGTTTTCAGTCATGCAGAACCTAATACCGAAAACTGATTTGAAGTTAGGATGAGCATAAAAAAAATTCCCATATGGTGCAGACTTTTCCGCGGGCACTGTATAAAGTACTTGTAGGTTTGGAAATTGAAAATCCATCCTACTAGAACATGGTGTGGTTGATTTTAAAAATTGGAACAAATGCATCAGAAATTAAAATAAATAATAATAATGAAAATAAAATTAAGTATGCTCAATATGTACATTTGCATGCTGCGTACGCACATGTTTGTTTCTGTCACCTTTTTGTCTAAAATATTTTTCGCAAATATTGCACGGATAAGGTCTTTCGTTAGTGTGGATCCGTTTGTGGTTATTCAGAGCATCCGCTCTAAAGAATTTTTTACCGCACGCCTGTAATTGAAATAAGTTATTAGGATTAGGGCATTTATACAGCGTGTTCGTTTTGAGTGATACCACTATTGGTAATTGCTGAAACGAGGTCGGTTAAATTCGTTAAATTAGACAAAAGTTACAGATTTTAATGTCCATTGAAAGTATAAGTTCCTAAGATTGCCAAATTTTTGTTCGTTTTCGAGATGTAAGAGAAAATGTAAACACAACTGAAAAATTACGCTATTTTGTAGAGAAGAACTCTTGAAACTTTTGTATTGAACACTTTTTCATTGATAGATTTTGAAATACATATTCATTAAATAGGTTTTAGGCATTTTTCACATTTTCCCTTATATCTCGGAAACGAACAAAAATTTGGCAACCCTGTGAACTTACCTTTAATAAATACTAAAATCTGCCATTTTTGTCTAACTTAACCGACCTCGACCTTCTTACCATTCAGGAGATAGCAATAGTGGTATTGAATTACTTAAAACGGACATCCTGTATTATTACTAGAAAAATATACTTACATCACAAATATACCGTCTATCATTGGTGTGAATCAATCGATGTTGGTAATAGACAGATCCAGTTAGAAAACGTTTATTGCACACGTTACATTTGAAAGGTCTTTCCCTGGTGTGCACTTTACAAATGTGATCCTTAAGATCGGGTCTTATGGTGTAACGGGCTTCACAACCCTCGTGAGGACAAGCAAACGGCTTGATTCCTGAAATAATACATTTTAAATTATCTCTATATAATGGTTATAATGTATAATATGCACTATCGTCACCAGAAGCAACTGGGACAGCATCATATTAGCTCTTGTACTATTATATGAATTTCATTGTCAAATATTTGTCAAACTATGATTTGAATGCATTGAAAATTGAAATGAATGACGGTAGAATTGACGTGTCTCGTAATACCTGGTGTGCGCGCGCAACTCGTGGCTTGCAGGTGAGCGTCCAATGAAAATCGAGTTTGTTAGAGGCTTGTGTCATATTCGTATTCAGGATCGAGTTCAGAATCAATCGTTCCTTCTTACTTTCTAACGTGTAATTCGACAAAGAGCAAACTAATACTTTACGTATTACTTGAACTTATCGCAGTGCCGTTTAATGTTATGTAGATTATACTTGACATATTCCTTTGCAATTTCATTGAGCGATGTTGCCAAATGAAACATTTATCAAAATAAAAGTTCCATCAATGTTAATATACACTTTCAAGCTTTTCTTTTGTCTGAGGCGTTGTAAAACACTTGACAATATATTACTTCTTTAATGTTATAATGTTCGATTTGTATTGTCTGCATTTCACTCTGCATTTGTTCTACAACAATAAAATCTGGCTACACTGCAGCCACGAGTTGCGTGCGCATGTCATTTTTTATTACTTTCTAACTTGTATTTATTACAATCAAGCTCTCTTTTTCTATTTCTGCGAGACACGTCAATTAGTTTAGTGTATTTCGTTCTATCTGGGTATATGGAAATCTATATATTTTATGTTAAAAAATTTCATAATAAAGTTGTAGGGTTTAAATCATTAATTTGTTTTTTTGTATTTGCGCAAGGGGTGTCAAATAGGTGTGATTCAATTTTTTTTTAATAAAACACCATATATATTTTTATATTTTTTGGTAGACAATTATAGATACATAGTTTTATAGGGTTGTTATGCACGATTTCGGATTTATTTACGGTTATCTTCCGGGAGCGGCCAATTTTCAGATTATTGTAGAAACGTTATATATAAATATTTTAAAGTCGGACTTGGAGAAGAAGAAAAAGAAACATATCTATCGTCTACTTTGTCAACTGATTGTCAAAAATAAGTTTATGTTGCAGTTCTGCCAAACTTCGAAAATTGTCGGTTTCCTATTTTTTTTTTAATTGGCACACTCTGTATAATAAATGTGGGATGAAAAGTACTCTTTAAAACAAACTTTTTTTGTATAAAACATTATGCAAGGTGTTCAAAATTAAGTCAGCGCTATTGCCAACTCGCTTATTATAAGATTTAGAAAATCGGTTAAATTGGCAAACCAGTACGACTAGTAGCATTTCTTCCGTTAAATAAAATTGTAAAAAGTCAAAAATAATTGAGTATTGCGTTTTTGAGATATTATTAAAAATTTACTATATTTTTAATAAAATACCCTGTATATTTCTTGATAATTTTATTGCAAATGTTTTTCCCACCAAAAAGCTTCCTATATGCACTAATGCCCTAAAATTACAAATAACTGAGTTATTCCACATTTTACATTTTTTCAAGTTGGCCATGTATTGTTATCTTAAAGAGTACTTTTCATCCCACATTCAATATACTGGGTGTTCCATATAAAAAAAAATGAAACACAAAGACAATTTTTAAACTTTAGCAACAACTGAATGAACTTAGTTTTGACATAACTATTCAGTTGACGAAGTAGACAATATGTATATGTTTCCCTTTGGTCAAAGTCGGACTTTAAAATATTTATTTTTAACGTTTATACACTAATCTGAAAATTGGCCGTTCCTTGAAGATAAATGTAAATAAATCCGAAACCGTGCATAACAACCCTATCAAATATCTTTGAAAGCGCTATCAAAAAATATAAAAATATGCATTAGAAAAAAAAAATAATCAAATACAAGAAAACAAATTAATGATTCAAACCCTACACTTTATTTTTTCCCAAGATAGATTTTTACATTGTCAACTTTGAAACATAAACAATACCACATGGCTCTGATTGGTCGCAAAATGAGGTGTCCTTGCAGGTGAGGTATCCTTGCAGGTGAGGTATCCTTTTACATGGTCTTGCGACCAATAAGCGGCATTGTTTATGTTTCAAAGTTGTCATTGTCAAAATCTATCTTGGAAAAAAAGACACTGTACAACTCTTGTATTCAATTTTTTGTCATTAAATATCTAGATTTCCATATACTGGGATAGGACAAAATAAACGAGCCACCCTGAATGTTCCTAAATGTAATTGTAGAAGTTTCATGATTATAATGAAACTGCCAGCGATTTGACATATTTAGTAATATAGGCTTCGTCGGATTTCCAAGACTTATTATTTGGTGATATTTTATTTCTCAAAGGCTTTCAATCAGGATAGGATAGGTACAGGGTAATTCTATTATAAATGTCACCCCCTGCTAACTTTTTCATTTGACGTTTATGACCAGTGTCAAATACAAATGTTTTAGGAAATTGTCAAAAGATTTTAACAGTCAATTTTAAGCATACAGGGTGCGTTAAAAAAGTGTAGCAGTACAAAGTTATATTCTTTTAAAGGGAACAGGGATTCTACACATAAACTGTGTGCTTTGCGCAGAATCGTGTCGGTACAGTGTACAGTTTCCTGCTGTATTGAAACAAACCCATAATTTTCGTGTTTCTTGAGAAAAAGTCGAACCGTTTGATTGTCGATGGTCTTTACTCGTTGGCCTTACTTTAGAACGTGGACGTTAAATAGATTGAACTATCCAAATATTTTTTGCATGATTTTGCTTTTTGGCAAATAGTTTCATGCATAATAACTTTTAAATAAAAGCCCTCTACCCTCGATCGCTTCACGGCCAAAATATGTTGGATAGTTTAATCGATTAAATTTAAAGCTCTTGTGATATAATATTATAATATATGGATAAATTATGGAGTAGAATCAGAAAAACTAGAAGTTTTGGTAGGTATTCCTCAAGCAATACTCAAGACATACAGGGTATTCATTGTAAAACTTACCACACCTATTATCTCGGAGTTAAAATATTTTCGAAAAAATGCCTGAAACACGTCAACTATAATTTGAAAATTCATCTCGCTCCTTCCAACACCCCAGCCCCCAGAGCCACCCCCTAGAAAATCTTAAATGGGAAGAGGGGTCAAGTGAAACATCATTTTGGAGGGTTTTTAATTCCATACATTTTGGTACTAAATTCTAATTCAACTGTTTGGAAACTTTTTTGCAACTTTGACAGGCTGTAAAACCTAAACGATTAATTTTAGAGAAAAGTCGATCTTACATTCTTGTCTTAGATTTTTATGAACTATCATTCGACAGCATCTTTGAATTTAATCCATGATCAACAATTCCGTTTGAAAATTCAATCTCCGGTTAAATTCAGGAGTCGAATGATGGTTTATGAAAATTTGAGACAAGAATGTAAGGTTGGTTTTCCTCGAAAATTAACCGTTTAGGTTTTACAGCTAGTTAAGTGGTCAAGTCAATTTTCAACTGTCAATATTTCCAAAATAGTTGAGCTTAGGGATTAAAATTTAGTACCAACCCTCTAAAATGATGTATCAGTTGACCCCCCTTCCCATTAAAGATTTTCTAGGGGGTGGTTCTGGAGGCTGGGAGGTTGAAATTTTTCAACTCCGAGATAATAGGGGTGGTAAGTTTTAAATACCTTTTAACTATTGTTTGCCCAGCGGTTCTGAGTCTACGGAAGGAATTCGGACGTAAATGTACGATGTTGCCATGTTTGATTATTAAAAAGCGAAAATACTAGGCATGAAGTATAGTTCATTTGAAAATCCATTTTTTGATAACAAAATATAGATAACGATAAAACGTTAAATATTTCAACGTGGTGGTGAGATCTATTCTTATTTTAATAACTATTTCTTCAATTTTGTCTATTGTAAAAAATCTTGTTATTTTATCCTCCCATTTTGTAATATCGATTTATATTGAAATATCCAGTGGCGGTGTGGTTTGGTCATTGTCGATTTTTGTGTAGGATTTGCAATACGATAAGATAACACTTCCAAAAAGTTCCGCACGCAGCTGGGTTTTTTATGAATGAAATCAGCCATTTTTTTTTTTACAACTGTATTCCCCTTGCCGTTGCCCCGTAGACATAGAGTCGCTGGGCAGACAATAAATGTTTAAGGGCGGTTACACACGGACGTGGATGTCTTAATACATATACGTGCATACATCAACGTGCAAACAACAACGTGCATGGCGCTTTTGTACAGACGCTCGCACAAAACTGCAGTCTTGCTATTCTTGCTACGGTGTTCCGAGTGTGCATACAAAATTGCACATTCAAAAACGCGACGGTATTTTGCATACACATTGATGTTTTTGTGTGCGCGTTCATGTATGTGCGTACATGTTTTGAGACATCCACGTCCGTGTGTAACCGCCTTAAGACAAACATGACTGGGTGCGATTTTCGAAACCATTCGAGTACATTTCGTACACGAAGTTTGACTGACAGCAGTCAAATTTCGTATACGAAATGTACTCGAATGGTTTCGAAAATCGCACCCCAGGGGGTCAATTCTTGAATATTCTCGCATACGAAAGTTGGTACGAATTCGAATGACAGCAATGTAAATTGAATAGGGAACCTTCGAAATCATCTCAATTTTCGTATGCGAGATTATTCAAGAATTGGGTCCCAGGCCGTGTCAGGACCGAGCCTCGGATGAGAAACGCCCTTGCTCCGGCCCAGTCCTCTAGAGCTAGAGACCACACATAACCGAGGCTCGTCAGTGTTTTCTTTGTAGTTGGTAGTCTAGAATAAAAATTTTCACACAAAAATTGTCGTCAATAACGTGAAAAATTAAACTAAACAAATTCCGTCGAATTTAATCGAGATTAACAAAAACCTTTTAAGGTGCTAATAATGGAGACGTTTACCTTATACATTTATAGTTCGAGAGCTGGCAGTAAAAACGAATACCTCATAGTTACCAAAAGTTTGAATTGAA